CAAGAACGTCACCACCCCCCCCCCCCACCCCACCCCCCCAACCCCCCAGTAGAGATTGTGCTCCACCGCACGGCCCCGTAGAGGCGCCGTCTCCAAAAACATACATTTCTATTTCATCATGGTTCGTTTAAGGAGCCGTTCCAAGAAAGCAATACAGTATGGATCAGTGGTGGTTCCATTATGTTCCCTCAAGGAACACGTCCAGCAACAGCGTTCAAGTATGGTCCATCAGAGTATGGCTCGTGTCCGGAACACGTCTAAAACAAAAGCAGATTAACCTACGGTACTCCAGTGTTCCTTTGAGGGTGGCTACAAGATTTACAAGGGATCGTCTTCAAGGCATCATGCTGTTGATGATAGAAACCCTACATTACCCAGAATAAGGAGTATACCATAATTCCCATAGTTTAAGGTCCTTAAAGTCATGCAGGATTTTTATCATCAACCGTAAGAGCACTCCAGCACGAGCTGCTGGATGGAGAAGTCCCTCAGCTGACGGTCCATGGTGTCAATGCTGCGGCAATAGGATCCTCGGCGCTTGCTCTCGGTTTTCGAAAGATGATTCTCGACTCCCTTGTTGGCTTTCGGCAGAGGAAATGCTGAGGAACATTGGGAGTGAGACATCCAACGGCAGAATTAGGTCTTAAGATGTTCTGGTCCTTCATTTCCTGAAGCTCCTGTTTGGCAAGGGGCCCTATCCCAAGTCCTACGTACCCATATGGTCGAACGTAGGGCTTCTATATTACGAATTCCTATTGTAGTTTGGGGAAGTAATATAGGTGCCTTCATAATTATCATATAGGGTTTGGGGGTATATTATGCTACAATGTTAATAAGGAGCCCCCAAAACCCTATTCTAATTATTAAGGCCCCTACCTTATAATAGAGCCCTCCTATAGTAGATCCCGTGTAGAACCCTCTAAAGGAGCCCTTTGTGGATCCCTTTAAAGGAACCCTATTCTAATTATGTATTAAGGACCCTATATGGGGGTTTCCGAAAATAGGGGACCCTAATACAGTACCCCAAATAATAGGATCCTTATTATAAGGACCCCAAAATAAGATACCCCTAATTTTCGGAAACTCCCATATTACTCCAGAAGAGTACCTAGGACCCTTGGGGGTTGGGCTTCGGAGAATGCAGGTTAGGCGGAGGTCTGGTTGTGGGGCTCAGGTCTGCTACAATCCAAGAGGCTCTTTAGGGTTTGGGGTTTAGGGTTGTTTATACATATATATATATATACAAGATGTGATTATATATATATAATAACTTTTATGACGACCATTATGGAATTTAGGTCCTTAAAACCATCATAAGGATGGTTTTGGGGACCTAATCCCCATACTGGTAGCATCTATGGAGCCTCTGCGAATGGTACAGCGTGTCAAACCCTGAACTCTTACAGCTCGCCAGCACTAGCGCAAGAAAGCCGTACTTTCAGAATTACCCTAAACCCGAAGCCCTAAACCTCAAACCCAAAACCCTAAACCCAAAGCCCTAAACCCTAAACCCAAAGCCCTAAACCCAGAGCCCTAAACCCTAAACTCTAAACCCTAAACCCTAAGCTCTAAACCCTAAACCCAAAGGCCCAAACCCTAAACCCAAAGCCCTAAACCCTAGACCCTAAGCTCTAAGCCATAAACCCTAAGCCCTAAACCCTAGACCCTAAGCTCTAAACCCTAACCCCTAAACCCTAAACCCAAACCCCTGAACCCGAAACCCTAAACCGCACCCCTAAATCCTGCC